AAATCTATGTAATTGCAAAAGTAATTTCAAGAACCTTAATAAAGTACTAGCGTGACTGCTTAAGTTAAAAAAAAAAATAAAATAAAAATAAATAATATATAAATCTAACTAGACTGATATAAATTATATTTAAAAAAATAATAACTAATAAATAATAATATAAAAAATTACAAATAATATAACACAAATATATAAAATATTATTATATAAGCTTAATATTAAGAAGGTAGTTTATGATTAATAAATTTTACTAAATTTATTAACTGATAGTTTAATGTAAAGTAGAGAATGAACCAGACCAGGCCAGGCTTTGTCAGGCCTATATTCAGATTCAAAAAAATTTTTGGATCCAAGCCTAGTACAGAAAAAAAAAAGCCTAAAATAATAAGCTAGGCCAGGCCTTAGGCCTAGTTTGGCTTAGCCTAGTCTAGCCCAACCCAGTTTAATAAAACTTAGAAATATTTAATTTTAGACTAACAATAGTGTATATAGCCATTTTTCATAGTATTATTTTGTTCTAATTATTTTTATTTTTAGCAAATATTATGCTGTATATATTTATTCAAAGTCTTTTTATAATTTATATATAAAAGATCTTGAATTATATTGATAGCAATTACTAAAATTACAGTATTAATTAAAAGATTAATTCAATAATCTCTAAAAGAGTTTTATTAAAGAACTATTATTACTAAACTGTATAGGGTTGCACAATATATAATGTAATTGTAGATTTTATATAGCTATTGCAAAATTTATATAACTATTATGGTTTTATATACTATTGTAAGTTTTACATATTTATTGTAAGTTTTATATATTTATTATGGGTTTTATATATCTATCACAGGTTTTATCAAAAATTATCACAGATTTTATTTTGCTATAAAAAAAATTGTAAGTACATAATGCTTTTTGATTAATTAACTTTTTTTTATTGATACAAATTTTGCCCATTAATTAAGTACTTCTTTCTGCATTCAGTGCTATATTTGAAAATCCAGAGTCAATAATGTGTTATTTTGCTAAGCATATTACTAGTATGTAAATCATGTTGAATAAAATATCATCATCAAACCAACCTTGTTTTTATCTAAATTCTATTTTAATAAACAATTTTTTTTTTTCCAATTACTGTTCAGATAAGCAATATTATAGATAAATCTGAAATAGAACTAATAAAGTTTTGTAATAGCAAAAGATTGCAGAAGTTTGTTATAAAAAACTTGGCAAGTTTAATTATGCAAAAAAAATTTTAATTGCATTACTTAAATGCTCAATAAACTTTAATACTCAATATGTATTATAATGATTACATCATGATATATATTTTTAATAAAAATCACAAGACTTAGTAAATATATTTTTTTTCTTTTTCATTAGGTAGATGGAATTATAATATAATTACAATAAAATTACTATAATTTATAACAGCCTTTTGAATATAAAGTATTTTCTGAAGTTGAATATATATTAAAACTATTATATCTGCAGCATCTTTATTTCAACTTTTATCATTATAAAATATTGGGTATGTAAAATAGTTTTATCATTACTGTTTTTGAATTAATACAGTAATAGAATTTTATAAATACAATAAAGCTTTAATATATTTTCATTATAAGAACAATAGTAAAATACAGGATTTATAAGATTTATAAAATCCTATTATTTGAAAACAGCAATAGCACTTTATATAATCTAATGCATGTAAGCCTAATGCAAGCAGTATTGAAAATTCACTGTACATAAATGCAAGATAATATATATCATATAATAACTAGAAGCCAACTTATGTTTTCTTAAGTTTTGTTATAAATAATGCAATATTAGAATTGTAGAAGTCAATATGCATAGAGTAAAAGAAAACATACATACATGCATATTTTAAAAAGAGTCAAGAAAAGGTTCAAAAAATTAAAAAAAATTCTTTTTGTTAGATAGGTTGGAATTAATAGAAAATAAACTACAGTATAACAATTAATATATTAAAGAGACCATTTTTTTTGTATTTTAAATTAAACTTACCAGATTGTTTTAATAATTAGAAAGTGCTAGTCCTATTGTTAGTAAAAGTGAAAATGAAAATCCAGAAATAGTTGCTATTAATAAAAGTGCCAAAATAACTATTGTTAATAATAATGTTGAAATAATCATCATTAATAAAAGTGCTAAAATAACTACTATTAATGAAAGTGCTAAAACAACAGCTATTGATAAAAATGTTGAAAAGACTACTACTGATGAAAGTTCTAAAACTACTAGTAATAAAAAATGTAAAACAAATAAGTTATGAGTTTTTAAAGAAGGTCATTTTAAGCAAAATCCTAAAAATAGTAAATATTCATGTTTCAATAATGTTGTAAATTTTTTTTTTTTTACTATTAAGGCAAGTAATTGTGATCCAGAAGTTTATTGATAATTAGTTAGCATATAACTATTGTGTACAATAGCTACAGAGGCAATCATAGAAAGAGTGTACAACTAGCCACTTATACAACTTTAGTCATTGTCTATTTTAAGTAATCTGCTCAAAGGTTTTACACTAGTTGCCATATCTAGAATCTGCCTGTAAGTTCTCTATTTAAACACTCTAGTTCCCATATTCACCTCTATCTTATCAACTGCAGCCATTGCTGCAAATATACTACAGTCACTAAGTCATATTTAACTTTATACTAAGCCCACCAGAGCCTTCTGTATCCTATACTTACAGCTGATCTAGTATCACTCTGGCCTAGACCATCACTTGCAATTAGGGCTAATCATTAAACTGCTATACCCTTGTAAAGTTCACAAGAACTCTAATACCTTTTTTTTCTAACTTTCACTCCCTACTTCTGAACCTACAAGACCCACAAGACTTCACAAACTACCAATTCAGATGGCCCATCTAGCAAATCTGGCAGCCTGGTTGGTATATGCTCTTCTATATATGTTGTTATCTGATCTATTTGAGGTTCTAGTAATTCTTTTTTGGAGCCTTCTGATGGTTCAGTAGTATCATCAAAAGTCCATGCTACCTCTTTACTCAGGATTTTCAAGTAGGTTTCTGACTTTTCAGTTCTTTTGCTTTTTGTGCCCAGTAGTCTTATCATAGGTTTGCATCAAAGTCTTATACAACATCAGTTATTAATATTCTTCTATATAAGTATAACATTACACTTTGTATAAATGCCTCGAGCTCTCATTCGAGATGGTGCAACAAAGGTTACAGATACACTAATCCAACTGCTCAACAGAGACAGTTACTATAACACAAATCTTATTTTCTAAAATTCATCATTTATGGAATTTGAACTCTAGATCTGACACTTGAAAGTTAACAACCTAACCACTTCACTAGGTTACTATGCCTCTTTAATATTATAAATATTATTCTATAAAGTAGTTAATATTTATAATATATAATTTTTTAAAAAATTATACTAAATGTGTATATTGTAAAAGTGCTCTAAAACATAATAATATGATAAGAACTAGTTTATTAATTCATTATATAAAAAACACAAAATGTAGTATATATTTTAAAAATAACAAATTACAACAAATATTACAACTTTCTTCATTAGGCCTTACTATTTACAAATTTTTTCAAGAAAGAAGCCATCAAGATTTGATTAAGATGATTATAATGCATGCATACCCATTCTGTATAGTTAAACATAAAAGATTTCTAATCTTTGTTAACAACTTACAATCATAATTTAAGATTATAAGTAAAAAAATAGTGCATAAAAATTCTTAAAAAGTTGTTGAAGACCTTAAATTGAAAGTTATATAGCAATTTAAGAAGTACTAGAAAATCTGAGTTATACAACAAATTTATAAATGTTGAACCAAACTCTTGAATATATAGCCATTACATGCCATTTTATTGATAATAATTGGGAACTTCAAAAATTTGTAATAGCCTTCAAACTAATTCCTGCATCATATACTAAAATTGCTATTAGTAAACTGCTTTTTAAATATTTTAATAATTGGAGTATTGTATCAAAAACTTTAGCAATTACTGTAAACAATGCAACCAGTAATAATAATATAATTAATAATATAAAAAACAAGCTTGATAAACAAAGCATGCTTATTGCAAATAGAATGTTTTTATACTAACATTGCTATGCTCATATTTTGAATTTCATAGTTGAGGATGGCCTTAAAATAGTTAAGAATATTATAAGTAAAGTTCAAGAATGTGTAAAATAGGTTCACAGTTTACAACTTTATTAACAAAACTTTAAAGATGATATAATTAAATGTAGTTCTAAACTTGTAACTAGTCAATGACTAACTCTTAATATTCCTATTTGATAAAATTCTGTTTATTTAATATTAGCATTAACTATTTTATATAAGAATGTATTTGAGTATCTTTTATTATATGATTCTATTTTTAACTAAATTATGCCTTCTAACAAAGATTAGAGAAAGGCCAAGACCTTTTGTGACTTTTTAAAGCCATTTTATAAAGATAATAATAATTTCTAGTAAAAATTAGTATGGTTAAAAAAATAATAGCCAGTCAAATTTTATATTTTATTGATTTTAACTGATCAAGAAGTTAGTTAAAATCAGATAGATTAGTTATATAAAAAAAAAATTGTCAATAATGTGATATACAAGTCATTCTGACTATATTTTTGTATTCAGACTATTAATTTTATACTTATAATTTGAAATCTAAAAATATTTATAACTTTTAGATCCCAAATACAAAAAATATAGTCTGAGTTGCTTGTATATCATATCACTATTAATTTTTTTTAACATAACTAATCTACTTGCTAAAATCTTATAACAATTAACCAATCAAGTATTGGTTTTCTATTAGTACTTATCTATGAAAAAAATATAAATATAGTCAAGAATGAAAAAAGGCATTTGAGTGTAAGTTGAAATCTGCTGATGGTAACAATATAAAAGAGCAAATCAATATTAAAACCTTTTTGAAAAAGATATAAGACAGTTGAAAATAAAAAAAAAGTGTTTGTATAATATTTGAAATCTGCTAAAGATAGTATTATTCTTTTATTAATTATATTATCTATCTTTTAACTCCTTATCTAAGCATTAGTAGCTTGGTTTGGTAATTTGAATAGACAATTTAGTCTAAAACCTACTGTAAAAAAGACATAGTCAATAATGAAACAAAAGCATTTCTTTGGGTAATATTGAAATCTGTAAAAGTAAAAAGGTATTTGAATTGTATTTAAAATCTGCCAAAAGTAAAAATTTAAAAAATAACAATTTAAAAATAGATTTTGTTATAATGTAGACACAAAGCAAGTTATATTTCTTATTAAAGAGCCTTTAATTATTATAATTTTTATAACTGACTAATTGGATATCAATTAATTAACTGGTTAGCAGATATATATATATATATATATTTTTTTTTTTAACCTTAAGCAGTTACGCTAGTACTTTATTAAGATTCTTGAAACTAAATACTTTATAATTACATAGAATTTCCCAATACTCAAGTCTAGCATCACTTAGCTACTCTATTGGTACCTAAGTGCAACTTGCTGCACTATCTCAGTTAGAGATAGGCTGCTTGTCTAACTACTTAAAGCCATACTAGAAAGGTTTTCCTCTTTCTGTAACAAGCATATCGATTGTCTTCAAAACTTCTTTCTTCATTCAGTTCATTTTTTATACTTCCTTTTCCTTTTCTTCTTTCTTTGCCACCTTATTTTTTTTTTCTTTTTTCTGATCTTCTTTTAATTCAAGCATCTTTTTTCATCTTGTTTGTTATATTAACTTCCTTTTTTCATTTTTGTACTTTTTCACATCAAACTTTCTATACTTGGTCAAAGAATGTATTCTACACTGTTTTTGTAACTATATCTATGCATTTTTGTGTTGCCTGGCTATTTAAAATCTGACTAATCTGCTTTCCAACTTTATTTGTTATTAGCCCTTTTATTAAAGCTGTCCTATTAGCAATTTTCTCTGCTTTTGTTTTTCCAAATAATGCCTCATATAGTACTAAAGACAGAATTTTAACTTTTTTATTTTCTTTAAGGCTATTTCATGCTGCTGCTGTTGCTACCTTTTGGATTCTTTTTCACAAACTTTTTTGTCTGTTGCAACTTGCTAGATATGCTTGAGTTTCCTTTTCACCTTCTTAATATACTTGGCAATCAGTTATTTTATATATTTCTGGTCTTCTTCTATTTAATTCTTTTAATGTTAGCAGGCTATCTATTATGCATTTATCGTTGTTGCTTTTCTTGTGCTGAGTTTTCTTGATGTGCAATGAACACCTTTTGTTCTATTCATCTCTTTCCAAAGCTTGACCAATTATACTGAGTATTCTCTGTTTCTGGTTCTAGTGCTCGAATTGGGTTTGTTTCTCTTCAACTAGTTCCAATTCTAATATTTGTGACTATTTTGCAAAGAAGTCTTATCAGTATATCAACTTTCCTGTTTTCCCATTCTAAATGGTACTCTATCTTGTTACATTTGATCTTTTCTGTAAATATTGTCCTTTTACATGTAGCTTCTTTTTTTGCAAGTATATCTGCTTTGTTATTCCACTTATTATTACTATGACTTTTAACTTTAACTAATTCTATTCTATTGTTTTTGCTTTTAAGTAGGTCTATAATATTTATTATCCACATTGCATTTTTCTTTTTCAAGACTCTGTTATTTCCTATCTCTTGAAGTGCTCTGTTAATATGTCTTAGTACTGCAAGACTGTCTGTATGCACTTCTATACACCTCCCTTCTGGTATAGTTAAAATTGCTAACTATATTGCTACTAATTCTGCTGTTGTTGCTGAGGGCCAACCTTTGAGTTCTAGTGTCATTTCTTCTTTTGGCTAGTTTTCTCTATTACTAACCTGCACCCAACCAATGCTCATCTTTTCTGTATTGTTTTTTCCTTTCTTTTTATATAATGCTCCATTTGTATAAAGAGTATATTTGTTTTTGTTTCTCTTTTTGTTTCTTGTTAAGACTTCTATTATATAATCTGTAACTTTACTATCAAATTTTTGTTTCTTGATTAATTCTATTTCTAACTCTTCTAATTGTTTTAGCTCGATTAAACTTCTTTCTTCTTTTTCTCATTTTCCTATTGTTCTGTTTTCTAGCATTTGTTCTAGTATTGCATTAATTTTATTACTGCTTTTCTATACTAATATTTCTGGAACTGCCTTTATATTATTGTTTCATCTTATCCACTTTTCACAAATATTTGTCATTTGCTCTGTTCTGTTATCACATTCTTTGCATTTGCTTATTTCAGTATATGTCTTGCTTTCTACTTTCTGTAGTAGCCAG